TTACAGCACGATCAAATAAATTTCTGGCATGGTTGATATTACGATTTTTCATTTCCATTTCAGTATATTTAATGTATAAAGTGACATTTCTTGATTCAACATCTAATGCTCTTTCATATACAGATCTTGCTCTTTTAAACAATTAAAAACGAGGAAAAAAAAAATTAACACATCTCTATAAGAATTAAAATCGCATAATATGATCAAGAAAATACCTATTTAATTCTTTTTGACTTTCTTCCCATGCTGCATATTTTAACCAGCTACCAACATTTAATCTGTTTCTTCTTATAGCATCTTCAAATTCTTTTCTTTTACGTAAACGATACTCGGATAGCTCTTCTAAATCTGAGATTTTTTGCCGAGGAGCTTTTTTTGCAGATTCTTGACGTTCTTTAGCTTCTCGAAGAATTTGTTCAGCAGTAATTTGAATTGGAGCTGGATTTTTATTTTTGATCTAGAATGAAATCTATATAATTAGTTTTTTTTTTCTTTCTTGTTTTATAAAAAAAAACCTATATATATTTATATTAAACAAGTTTAATCACCTTAGGAGGTCCACGTTGTTGTTTATAAAGATTTGGGACTTGATCTGGATCCATTTTTATTATTATTAATATATATCTAAATTTTATTTAGTAGTAGAATTTTTAAAATTTTAAAATCTGGTTACTGTAAATATGTAATTAATGTTGTGTGTAACCTTTAAATTTTTCTGGAACCTCGCAACTTCAACATCAAAAAAAAAAAAACACCAAACTCTAGTGATTGACTCATCGTGATTCTAGTAATTTAACAATAAGAGGATTTCTTTTACGAAAACTGTACCTTATGTATCATGTAAAGGTTGTTCTACGTACCAATATTGACCAGCCTATATGTATTCCAAACTTCCAAACTCAGACGCTAAAGACAGCTCAAACGCGTTTTTATTTTATTGTGTGCTTATTATTACGTTCAAAGTCAAAAAATCGAAAAAAACATCAAGTTAGCACAACTTTACATATCAATATTGACATGTCTACGTGCGTTTCAAACTCGAGCACCAAAGACAGACAAAGTCACTAATTACTTTTTTTATCGGATGAAAGAAGCACTGCTTGTCGAAAAGTTACTGGGCAATTAAATTATTGCATTTCTTTCTGGTTTGGCCTGAAAGAAGATGAATAAGTTAAATCAGAAATGTACAGGAATTGACTTGGTAGAAAGTCTTGCGCCAGAAAATCGAGTATGTAAATGTTAGGATATTACTCGTTATAAAAGGTACCAAATTAATATTGTTAATTTGACAAGGGTTCTTGATCATCCTCGTTTTTTAAGGAGGTTTAAAACCGATTATTATAATTGAGGTAACATCCAGGCTATTAGTAAATTTTAGAAAACTTTATGTAACATTTTTCTCCTTTACCCATAGCATATAATAATAACATGTAAAAGATTAAAAGCCTTGCCCATACCATTTGAAAAAATTATCCATATTTTCACTAATTCTTGGTAAATCTATCCATACCTTAAAAATAAATTTTTGTAATCCAAACCTTCTTAAAATTGATGTAAAAATTAAATTTTCATTAACTTTTCTAGTTAAAAGCTATTCAAGGGTAGAGTGTAGTCATGTGATTTTCTAATGATCAGCAAGGATAAATAATTCCTGAACCTCTTTTAAGTCACTCGCCTCATACATAGCTACACCAAAAACTAGTTTTCGTGAGATGAAAATTAACACAAAATCCATTTTCAGCATGTATCCAATCATATAGTAATAAAAAAATTTTTTTATTGTTAGATGGTTATTTCAAAAAAAAAAACTTGTAAAGTTAAAGACATTTTGCTAATTACTAATTAAAATTTGCTAATCACTAAAATTTCTAAATTTTAGTGGTTGTATCTGCCGGTTAATCAGATGCTGAAAAATTTTCATTGATTACAGTGAACACTCCATAAGTGCACTCTCTATAAATGTATCCCTCCATAAATGCACACTATGTCTCATCCCCAACCTCGGGGATTAGAGATAAATGCACACTCTCCATACTCTGCACTGCATGGTCTTCCTCCATCCCTGTTCATATAAAACCACCCTCTCTAAATGCACGCCCATGACTTTCACATGATTTATTTGCTAAATAAATTCGTGTTACATTAGTTAATTCAAACGTTTATTTATAAATCTATTTAAATATTAGTAATGGAAAATAAAGGATTAAGTAAGCTACTGTTGCTTATAAAGGATTAAATAATGTTTACAAAGAGTTATTAGAATAATAATGATAAAAACACAAATGGAGAAAATTATATATATGCGAAATTAAGGATTAAACAAAAGATAAAAGATCACAAATTTTTTTTTAAAACTTTATAGTAACCAAAAATAAAATAAGAAAATTCTAAAGAACAATTAGGACAATTTAATGCCCTTGAGCGATACATTAATTTAAAAAAAAACTTCAATGAAGCAAACCACAATTAAACAATTTTTTAGTCAACAATAATATTTAATATGTAATAATAATAGTAATTAAAAAAATATTTAAAATCGTACAATAATTTTTATTAGTATCACGTGCAACCAATAAAATTCTTCCCTTCTATAAATGCATCCCTCCATAAATGCACGCTCTCATCCATTCCCAAGGGGGGTGCATTTATGGAGGGTTCACTGTAATTAATTGGGTGTTGAAAAATTTCATTGGATAATTGGTGAATAAACAATCGGTGGTACAGAAATATAAAAAATAAAAATTTTTATCCATGTAATTGAAAAAATTACTAATACATTAACATGTAAATACTATTTTATGCACTATTACACTATCACCAACAATAATAACATATCAAGTAATATGAATACCAACTGTGTCATTATTATCTAAAGAATGAATATTTATGCATTGTAGTAACTTCTACTCCAAATGAGCGTCTACAGCCAGACCTTGTCACAGCAGACCATAATCATAACAGATTTTTAAAATTTTTGCTTCACATTCACATTAAAATATAAAAACTTAAAATCCATTGTGGCAAGATCAGTAAATCTTGCCATAAATCTTTATTCATCCACTGTGACAAGGTTTGACTGTATTTAGTGAAGCTGGAAACACAATGACAGCCGAATGAATAAAATTGAATCCATTGTTATTTGTATTTCTTAAGAAAACTATGCAATGTATTGGAAATATTTTTCCTGAAGAATAAATAATTATTATAAATCAATGAATATTCAATGGATATCCGGCGGATATTTGGTGAATGACCAATTATCTGGATGTTGAGTTTTATTGACTGACCGATTATCCAGGTGTTGAGCTTTATTGATTGACCAAGTACTCAAACACCCAGATAATCAACGGATACAACCACTACTAAATTTTTTTCTAAAAATTCCAGAACGCTGAGCATTAATAAATTAGGAAATACTATTTATGGTATAATTCCAGACTGTAATAGCAATGATGATAATTTTTTTTAACCAAAAAAAAATTTTTTTCAAACATTTCACATTAAAGCTTTTCAATCCGTCGTGATTTCCTGAACATTTAGGTAGCAAATTGTTTCCTTTTCCAATTTTCTTTCTAAATTCTTCATGGTTTTGTGATAAAGTTCTTTTACTGGTTATGATTTTTCTTTCTTCTTGGTAAATTTTATAGGTAATCCTTTTTTTTCTTAGATAAGCTTCAAGTGCCTGAGTATCATCTATTTTGAAATGTAAGAAGCAATTTTTCACCTTGTTCTTCAAAATACTTCTAATGGTGTATACTTTTTGAGTTCCATAGTAGATCTAATATAAACGAGTTTCATATTAACTATTTTTGTTTAGACAAATATTACATTGGTAATACAATTGTGGTCTGGTTTTATTGCAACATTATTATTACTTACTGCGTTATGCTTTGATGATCACGCGCGTAACAATAATAGTAATATATAGTAAACCCCACATTTTGGAAGAAAAGAAATATTAATACAATGTTATATATTTAATAAGAATTATTATTATTATTATATTATTACTTACTATGCGTAACAATAAACCAGTAAACCCCGTTAATACAATAAGAATTATTAGTAATATATTATTATTACCTTGATGGTCGCATGCATAATAACAAAACCCGTTAATACAATGTTATAAGCCATTATAATAAATCAGTTGCATATGTAACAATAACTCTAATAGTAAACCTCGTTAATAGAGTTATATATATACAATAAGAATTATTATTAGTAATTGATATATTATTACTTACCGCCCACCATTATGTTTTGAACAATAATCCAATCTCATTGTTTAATTGGTAGATATGTTTTTTTGAAAAAACAAATATTAATATGATGTTATATATAATAAGTTATTAGTAGTAATATTATTCATTATCTACTACTATTAACTATGCTATGCTTCCCCATTATCTGTTTTTTGAAGTTACACATTTTCTTTTAGTTAAGAGTGAGCGCGAACAAACTTTAAAGGGCAATTGCGGCTGAAATATCTAACCAAATAGATTTTTTTTAAAAAAAAAAGATTGAACTTTCAATTTGTTATTTTAATTAAACATCATGTCTCAATTAACTGACTTTGAATAATTGGACGTTGGGAAGCAGATGAAAGTATTTGCGATATTGCTGGTCAATAAAAGCATTTAAGATCAAACTACTATTGCTCCCCAAAGAAATACATACAAATGAATTAATTTCTTATTTAATGGATGAATGGGTAAATCTTGATCGTGATTATTTGCAAAAATTAGTAGACAGCATTCCTCGAAGGGTCCAAGCTGTAATTGAATCAAAAGAAAACCCGACAAAATATTGAATAAATGAATGAATATTTATACTTTTTTGATACTTTTGATATAAATTTAATAAAGATTTATTATGTAAAAATATTATACAAACTGTTGATGATAATTTTTTCATTATTTTACATTTTGTATTAATGCTCCATGAATATTCAATCAATAATTATGAATGTGTATATATATACATTTGAGAACAAAAAAATTTTCAAAAAATTTTAATTTGACTTTTAAAATCATAAAATTATCAATAACAATTAGCCCAATGTGATATTTTAGAGTGTTATGGTCATTTCAACAAACATTTTCTTACTAATACACAACATCGATTTGCTTAGTAAAAAAACAAGTATTTGTATTACCCGTTTATTTGATTATTTTGACAGATCATCAAGTGAGTTGATACTTTTTGTAGGGGTGTGTACTTGGGGATATTGTAATCATTGAATATATTGACTTCTATGATCTTTGCAGCATACATGGTACCATCAGAGCTGCCATTTCATTTGACTTTTTTGACAACACATGATGAACCATTATTGAGGGAGCCCTTGCCACTTACCAATACATAATATTTTTTCTTATTATAGCAGGTAAACAACTTTCATATTCTCTTATTGCTGCTTCAAGGGGGTCATGAACTTTTGTAACCAGATCCCATCTGCTCTTTCCTGATTTTGTAGACAAACACACCACATCCCATCTGCTTTTTTTGCTACTAAAAATAATATACAAATCAATTATCATTAATTCAAAATCACTTTTTACCAAAAAAAAAACAAACTAGAATGATGACGAGTTGCAAACAACTATCATCATCATTATTTCAATAAATAACTAGTGTGACAACAAGTGGAAATAACCACCACCACCATCCTTAAAACACTTACCCAGAAATAACAGCTATTTCTTTTTCCACTTTTCTTTAGGTTTTTTGATGCCATTTTTAAAAAAGAAAAAAAGGATTGTTATTTGATCGACGTGTACACATTAATTGCTGATCCTTTTATAATTGGCAGAAAATTTTCAAATATTATTAAAAAATTTTGGGATAAGATAAATATAAAGATTTCTTGAGCTTGTAACATTTTATTGTTACAATAAAATTTGATCTAAAATTTCAAATGATTGTCATAAATTATTTTATTTTTAGATAGATGATATTTCAATAATAAATTATATACTATATACTATATACTATATATATATAAAGACTTAAATATTTATTTATTCTCTTTTTCTAAAATAATGAATAATAATAATAGTATAATTAATATTTGACAAAAATATAATATAATATAATATAATAAATTTACAATATTTCACCCCTCCCTCTACATTCTCTTTCTTATTCATTCAATCATTTTGATCACCAACATCATTATTATTTATTTCTTTATTTTCAGATTCTATCTCTGATAAATCATTAGATGATGATGGCAGTGGTTTTGTTTCTTATTTATTTATTGATTAATATGAATATGTAATTATTTAGTGAATATAATTTTATTTAATTAGTAAAGAGAGACAAAATTTAAAAGTTTGTGAATACTTTAATTTAAATAATATTTTCCACTAACCATTATTAATCTCAACATCAATATCAACATCTTTACTTTCATCTTCTTTCTCTTCTTTCTCACCTTCATCTTCGTTTTTACTTTCAGTCTTAGTTGATTCGTCATTTTCATCTTCATTCTCGCCTTCATCTTCATTTTTATTTTCAATTCTAATTGATTTGTTATTTTCATCTTCTTTCTCACCGTCACCTTCATTTTCATTTTCGTCCTCTTCTTCAACCTCCTCATCCTCAGACAGATCTTTTATTTTAATGTCTTCAGGTTTTAAATCAAATGATAACTCCAATGAAGATTCTGTGGCTAATCCCTCTTCCAAAACTGATTTCATAAATGACTGATAAACATCTTCACTAGTCTCTTTGCCATGAAGTGTAGTGATTGTATTTTCTTTTGGTGCAACTTTTTCACCCAACCAAAAAAACACCCAATAAAAAAACTTTTATTAATTTTTTATA